GCTGTTCCCTATCCGCGACCTGGGGACGCGCTCGGTAGCATACAGCTCTGCTCTTCCGAGTTGACCTCTATTACTATCAGTTTGTTAACGCTGCAACATTTGACATCACTACTACAGTCGAGGCTCATACATTAAGTGTTTTGTCTCCAGCTTTATGAGAAAATATGTGATAAAGGAAACATGTTGTGAACGTTGTTCATTATCCTCGGCCTGTTAAAGTACCCACGTCTCACAAACAGAGTTCACTGTGAGTGGAGATACGAAACAGCCAGCGTTCACTTTTTGTGGCATCACTTCTTGATTTATTTCATGGCTTGTGAACGCAAAGTATCGTTTGTGCTACATCTGAGATTTTTACTGACAGGAGTATCGCATGTTATACGAAAACGCTAAAGATGTACGAGATGGGCCAAATAGTTTCGCGATACGGGCACATCGTTGAAGATGTGCACCATGCGACTGTCACACCACATTTCTGAACCAAGCTTTGTAACATCAACATTTGTAGAGAATGAAGTGCCTCAACATTCGTTGACTTCAGAATATTCAATCTGACTAGCCTACTGCGGCGTGACTAATGTTTGTGCGTCGAGACTGAAGGACTAGGAGTCGTGGGTGAAACATTGCTGGTTTTGGCTAAATCTTCGTGAGAAAAGGTGTGGTTTCCGGCACTTTGATTTCATTCTGTTGAATCCTCTTATATTCCATCTTATTACATATGTAAAATCCATCCTTGTGTGCTATGGAGTCTGCTCACTTTGGAACTTCAGTGTCTCAGCTGTAAAACTCTAGGGTTCTGTGTACTCTCTCATTAGAATCTCGGGTTCTCTCTGTGTTTTCATATCGCATCCTAAACACACTTCACGTTCCCATATATGCACACTGTGTTCTTTTATGTGATTTCATTTACTTATTTTGTCCTAACCGTCCTTTACAGCGCATGCGAATTATTCTTTCATCCGAGCTTCTTGGGTAGTTCCGAGGCCGGATTCGGTGAATGCGCGGAATTTGTACTGCGTGACGTGTATCGGGAACAGCTGAAGCATCCGGATACGGTCACAACACACTGGCCCGGACTAGTGTTTCTTACTGGGAGCTTGGCTCAGTTACCCGGTTTCCCCGAACGCATCTACACCGAGCTTCGACCGCTTCTGCCCTATGGCCCCATTGGTGATCGGCTGAAAGTAATTGTTTCCGGTTAGTGGATCATTTCCTTGCATCGTTTTGCGGTCAGAACCCCGAAAATCTCCCCTTTCTTTTTTTCTAGCCCTGGTATCATCACCATTCATATCCAGATTCGAAAATAATCAGGCTATCAACTGGTCTGGAATCCCAGCCAATTCACAATGTAACTGAAGTTGCGTATCGTATTTCTCCCTGGAGTTCGAATACCCTACTGTTAAGAATGTGCGAGAGGTGAAACAAAATTTTAAACAAGAATCCTCGCAAATATTTCGGGGATAGTGTCTTTCTACAAATCTAGTACTCGGCATATTGAAGACTATATCCCCTTTCTTCCTGCCATGCTTTCGTCTGATCTTAAACAGATATCAAGTGAAACGTAAAACACCACAGATCTATACTTGGAGGTAATACTATTTTCAGGGCCTGGTGTTACAGTTGCATTACCACATTTATGCCTTTTGCTACCCTTAAAGCTTTGATTCTACTTATTTTCATGCCAATTCAAGTCAAATCGGGGAATCGCTTTATACACCTCGAATAGTAGACATTTAGCAACCGCATAACCACAGTGTCAAATATTAAAAAAATAGTAGTGTAATACAGCAATTAAAAGAAGTGAAACGCGCAGCAACAAAAAAACAATGGCATACCAGAGTGCCAGTGATTGGTTTAGTTTAGCTTTTTGCGCAGATTTTCTGCAAGGAGTTCATGGTTTGTAAGAATCTAATGAGATACGGTACAATAAGGGACCTGCAAGCTTCAGTGCGTGCGGTTATAAGTTTATGACTGAAATGGTTAGATGAGTAAGGAAGGCACTAGCTAAGATCAGAATAAAGGGAATGAGAAATATCAAATTAAATTTTATTGGAGAATGTTTTACAGGACTTGAGGTGGTATGCCACCGCATGCTGTACCAGATGTTCCCGTCATACGAGACTGCATATCTATAGAAATGTGAGGGATCGAGAAATGATTCGAATCATTTCGATCAATGTTTTGATCCTTGCTACCTTGACTGTACTTCGATTGGCTTAGACTTGAGTGGTTTTCATGTGTGCATTATATACAGACTTAATTTGTGTTAGATTTTTGTATGACGCGGTTCAAATAGCGGAACTGATGTTCAGTTCTATTGTGGATATGAGAAAACCAATAATATTTATGAGACATTGAGAATGGTAAGCCGGCACACGTTGAACATACAAGGATACACAACGAGAGTAACGGATGAAACACAATCATTCTGTATGGCGATTGTGAAAAGTTCAGTGGCTTCAGTGGGATTCGAACCCACGCATGGACGCCGCCTACGTTTTGTACGCACACGAATGTGAAAAGATCAGTGCCATCGGTGTGGCCTCGTAACTCAGCTGGCAGAGCGTGCGCGTACAAAACGTACGTGGCATCCATGCGTGGATCCGAATCCCACGGCGGCCACTGAACTTTTCACAATCGCCATACACACTTCGAACCTGTCAAACAACACTTAGAACAACCATTCGGATCAGCATACCACGTAATTGTGTTGGGAGTCGCATTCTTCGGCATAGAGTAGTTTTTAAATGCAAGTCCTAACTATGCAAACCTGAATGGTGTGAATCGGTGATCATACCGATTTACACGAACGACGACAGGTCCCCTTGTGAAAACCATAGAGCAGTTAGTTTAATTAACATTGCCTCTAAACTTCTCGCCGAGATCATACTCCGTCGATTGTCTGCCTCACATGAACGCTTCACGCTCGAGAACCAGGCTGGTTTTAGACCTGGTCGAGGTTGTATCGACCACATCTTCACTCTTCGTCAAATCCTTGAACACAGACACTCCTCATAGACCCACCATTTCCATCTTCCTCAACCCGAAAACCACTTACGACTCAGTCGACCATTCTTAACTCTGGCGCTGCCTTTTTCTGAAGGGTGTGCCCGAGAAGTTAATTTCAATATTACGGTCGCTTTATACTAATAGCCGAAGTCGAGTCCGGGCTTACGGCACTTTTTCACCCGAGTTCACCACGGAAAGTGGTGTTCGTCAGGATTGCCTCTCTTTCCTTTTCTATTTAACTTTGTTATAGANTAGATTTAATTCTTCAAACAGCCCTATCCTCATGCGAGGATAGTGGCATCGATTTACTTCCAGGTGGCAGGCTGTCTGATCTGGAGTACGCAGACGACATTGTGCTGCTAAGTGAAAATCCAAGTAAGTTGCAAGCATTTCTAGATAAGTTGAATGCCAGTGTAGCCATATTCGCTATGCGTTTTGCACCTTCGAAGTGTAAAATGCTGCTCGAAGATTGGATTGGCCCAGTCCCCCAGCCTCACCCTGACCGGGGATGTCTGTATTTGTATAGACTTTTGCGAGAACAGAATGTTCGCATTTCAGTCA